CACTCCGGTCGGGGGTGCCAGAATTAACACTCTGACGGACAAGTTAGTCTCTACTCTCTCTGGATTACTTGTATTTTAAGTTAAGTATATTGATTCTCACGTACCTCTTTCTGGTTGATGTTCTTCTATTTATATCTTTTCTTTCTTGGGCCTCGGGATTGGGCCTACTTTCAATTCTCCATTCAGCTTCTTTTGTAGCAAACCACTTTTCACTCGGCCCTTTGCTTAACCGGCTATTTGGCCGAATAGGTTAGGATTTGAACGTACGAGACGGGGCCGAGTGCTATATATATTTCGACTCTCCAAGATCAATTATTCGGCCTCTTTACGACTCCCAATATTCGGCCCCCACAGCCATATTCATATTGTTCTACACCACATTATATTGATTTGCCCATATTGATACTGATTCTGCACTGATACTATACTGATACTCTACTTCTTGCTTTCAACCTCCACCCGCACCTATGGCATTGGTGGCATCTCCTCTGGCTGTGGGCAAACGAGGCAGATAGGCTACTAGACACTACAGGGGGGAGAGTCAAGGTCAGGACAGAGGCAAGGATTCCCAGAGTCGGAGCGGAGAGTCCCAGGCATCGGAGACTTCCTCCTCATCGGAGTCGATTTTGAATGAGGATGGTGTCGAAACTAGCGGCACCGAGGAGATAGTGAGCAGGCGCTCTAAGTTTGGAAACGAGGATGATGATACTGGCTCGGAGTCAGGGAGTGGGGAAGATGACATTGACTCTGGCTTTGAGTGACATCCTTTTGACGATAGCGATGTTGATAGTGACAGTGCCCCTGAGTCCCGACCACAGAAGAGGACGAAGAGGGCCTCTCAAGCCTGATTCAACTGATACCTGATTTTTGTACTCTCTTGTTCTTTTCTTTGGCTTTGTAGTTTAGCACTTTGTATAGCTTTAGATAGGTCAGGTACTTTTTGTTTTAACATTTGTATTTTCTCTTTTGTAAAAACTATGATTGGGTCTGAATCCTGAAATTTTATAAAAGGAGTTTTATTTTGCACCTCAAGCATGGCACCACACTTGCACAAAATTGATTGTACTTGGAATTTGAGATTGAAAATGCTTGTATTCGAATAATTTTCGTAACCGTATATTGAGCCTTCCACTGACCAAAATACAAAATACAACTCAATTAAGGAAAAACAAAGTAAAAACAACCTAAACACATTTATTCACACTTGCGAGAAACAAAAGACTCAAAACAGGACTCAAAATAAAAAAGGGTCAATCATAACACTGCTGCCTAGTTGCCTGGCCAGCACACTTGGTCGACTGGCCACTAAGATGGATAGCCAGCTATGAAAGGTGGCCGACTGACCAAGTGCTGTGGCTGGATAGTTGGCAACAGCTGTCAACCACTCACACAACCTCATCCTCTATAAAGGTCTTCTCTTTCTCATTCCTTCGATAGTATACCGGGTCGGGTTATTACATTAATCGAAGTGGCCTAATGTCTCAATGAGGGTAAGAGCTACATAGGTTTGGCATTTGCCAAAACTTTGATGGGTTTGGATGCCTTCCATCGGTACGAGACTACTCAGTTTACGAGGGAGTCCACTGCTTCTTTAAGTGTTGTTTCCCACCCTTTCTTATTTATGATTTCTTACATCACTTGGCACACACTCTCTATTTTCTCTTAAAGCCCTTTATTTACTTTTCCCTCAACTTACATCTCTTTATTCTTTAATCTCTCTTATTTTTATCCCTTCCTAGGTGTGGTTGATGGATAAGCTGAAGGTGGTGGACCCTTGCCCCGAGTATTCGGCTAGATCTTACTTTTTTTGTCCACGGCTAGCGGATTTTCCTACAGAGGGACTATGGTGTGATTGGATGTGCTGCAGATCTGCAGGTGACATTGTTTGGTGTTGTCCCTAGCTAAATTTGACTAAGATGATCAGCTGGATATATAGTTGATCGGTCTCACACACTGTGTCTTTTACTTTCCTTTCCGATTTGGACGCCAATTTGGACATGATTAGACCCGCCCAGATAAGGGGGTGGAATACCTTACTCTATTTCCAGCTCGTGCTTCACACTTGGCTCGATACCTCACTGCTTGGAGGACAAGAGAGCTTCTTGTTGCTAGCTTCAGTTACGCCCTTTCTGGCAAGTGCTTGGCTTGGCTCGAAGATGAGGTACAGGTGGGGCCATCCTTGGTGCAAAGACTTCTAATAGTGCAGGCAAGAAGCAAAGGGTGATCACCTGGCTCATTTGTGCCCCTAGTTTATTGCTTTGACTTTTCTTTTCAAGTTTTTATGATGTAAAAGCAACTTTGACTTAACAGGAGAGTTGGAGAATGTACTTGTGTCGAAATCATGTAATTAAAGTTGTGAGCACCAAAAAGTTTCTTTTCTGGTCCAAATAATGGTCTGTATTGTAAAAGGTAAAATTTTAAGAAAATTAGCTTCATCAAAACTCTTTAAAACAATTTTCGCAAATGGTCACTACCTGACATACATGGAATCAATCCTCGAGATATACAATCCTGAATCAAAAGATCATAACCACCATAACTACATTCACCATCACTGCTCTGTCTTCCATCTGGCTCTTCTACCAAATGGAGATACACAACCAATCTAATAGACGATGGAAAAAGATGGATTGATAAAACAAATTGACAGGATAGCTGAGTAAGAGATGGTTATGGCCGAACTTTGGGATTAAGTTGTTTATGTATCCCGAAAATGGGAATCGGGCCTTATGTAGTTCGGTTCAGGTTCACTCGAGTATTAATTCTCTTCTTTTGCGCTCTAACTTTTGCCAAAGTCACCCTTTTGGGTTTTCGGCCTTGCGAGCTTTATCTTTTTTTATTTCCAATTTTTCATACTCTAACTTTTTCCTAGGTTGCCTTTTTGGGTTTTTGGCCTAGCGAGCCTCTCAGGGATAGTATTTCTTCAACTTGTCCATGTTAATCGGTTGCGAGAACTCCAAGCCATCCAAGTCCATAAGGATAACCGCTCCTCTTGACCAAATAGACTTGATGATGTAAAGACCGGTCGGATTGGGTCTGAACTTGCCCCTAGGGTCATGAATGAGAGCTCAGTTGTGTTTGAGCACCATATCTCCTTCTTTGAGGTTTCTAGGTTTAACTTTCTTGTTGAAGGCCCTAGCAATTTTGTGCTAATATCCTTGGATATAATACAACGCCTTCAATCTTCTCTCGTCAAACAACATCAATTCTTCGAACTTGTTCTGCTACCAATCCGCCTCTGTTATCTGACACTCAGCCATGATTCTCAGTGATGGTACTTCGATCTCAATAGGCAAGATAGCTTCCATCCCATTTACTAGAGAATAGAAGGTTGCCCATGTAGATGTTCGAATCGATGTTCTATATCCCTAGAGTGCAAAGGGTAGTTTATCTGGCCAATCTTTGTAAGTTTTCACCATTTTTCGGAAGATGTTCTTGACATTCTTGTTGGCAGCTTCAACAGCTCAATTAGTCTATGGTCTACACGTTGATGACTGGTGAAAAACCACATTATATTTCTCAAGCAAATCCACCACCTCTTTCTTGAAGTGTGAGCCGTTGTCCGAGATGATCTCATTTGGTACCTCATACCTACAGATGATATTGTTTATGATGAACTTGGCTATATGTGACACTTTCAACACTGAGTAAGACTATGCTTCCACCCACTTGGTAAAATAGTCGATTGCCACCAAAATGAACTCATGTCCATTTGAGCTCTTTGCCAAGACTGCCCCAATGACATCAATTCCCCAGACTGAGAAAGGCCATGGTGAAATCATATTGTAAATCTTTGATGGCGGGATGTTCATGAGATTAGCATGAATTGGATATTTGTGGCATTGCCGAACCAAGTTAATACAATCCCCCCCCATAGTTGACCAATAGTAGCCTTGCTTGAGGATCTTCCGAGCCAGCATCACACCATTTATGTGTGCACCGCACTCTCCTCCATGAGATGCTTCGATTCCTCTTCTTTAACACAGAGCTTATGTATTCCCAGATGGCCTCTCTTGTACAACTTATTCTTGCAGATGATGAACTGAACGACCAGGTGCCGTATTCCCTATTTATCCTTGGCATTTGCCTCTAGTAGATACGCATCCTTCTCTAGAAAGTTCCAAAGGTCATAATACCAGGGGCTTTTGTCTTGAAGTTCATCTATTGCGGCTGTTATTTTATAAGAAGGCGTATACTTCTGTTCAATGATGATCAGACGCATCTTAACCCCAAGCGGTATGTCTACCATGGAAGATAGAGTTGCCAGCGCATCAACAAACCAGTTGTTCTCTCTCAGCAGATGTGTAAATGTTAGTTATTCAAACCTAAGAATCAGAATGTCTAGGGTCTGGTGTTAAACATTCATTTTCTCTCCCTTGACCTTCCAATCTCCGTTGGCTTGAGAAACAACCAGGTTTGAGTCTCCGATGATGTCCAACCTTATTGCCCCTAATTTTAGGGCAGCTTCCAATCCAGCGATATACGCCTCGTATTCTGCTTCGTTGTTGGACACTTTGAATCGGAGTTTGAAGTCTAGGGGTATATGGGAATCATCAGGTGCTATCAGCAATATGCCTATCCCATAACCGTACTGATTAGCTACTTCATCAAAGTACGTTGTCCATGTCTACTCTTTTACCTGCAAAATCTCCTCATCTGGGAATAGGTACTCTACTGCTTCATCTCCTTCCACTTGGTGGTCTGCCAGAGATTCCGCTACTACTCTCCCTTTGACGGACTTACGAGTGACGTACTTGAGGTCAAACTCGAAGAGAAGAAGCAACTACTCTCCCTTTGACGGATTTACGAGTGACGTACTTGAGGTCAAACTTGAAGAGAAGAAGCAACCAACGAGCTAGCCTACTCGTAAGCACCGGTTTCTCAAAGAGATATTTGATTGGATCTAATCTCGAAACTAGAATTACGAAGCGAGGTAACAAGTAGTGTCTCAACTTCCTAGTTGCCCAAACCAAAGCTAAGTAAGCTTTCTCCAGGAGAGTTTAGCGGGTCTCGTAGTCCAACATCTTCTTGCTCAGATAATAGATGGCTTTGTCCACCTTAGCTTCTGATTCTTGAGAAAGTATGCACCCCTTGGTTGAATTTGTTACCAACAAATACATGATTAGCGGCTTCTTTAGTTCTGGTGGCAACAATACAGGTAGATCCTGAAGGTACTGCTTGACTTGTTTAAAGGTGAATTGACATCGATCGTCCCATCGAAACTTCTTCCCTTTTTTCCAGAGACTAAACAGTGATTCACAAATCAAGGTTAATTTTGAGATAAACCATCTTATGAAATGCACTTTTCCCAGAAAGCCATGCACCTCCTTTTTAGTCCTTGGTGGCATTTCTAGGATGGCCTTAATCTTGGATGGATCTACTTCAATTCCACTCTGCGCAATCAGAAATCCCAGCATCTTCCCTGTAGTCACCCCAAAAGTGCATTTTCGTAGGTTCAACCTCAGTCTGTACTCCTTAATTCGGTTGAAGTATTTTTCCAGTGCGGTGTAGTGGCCTTCTCGCTCTTTGGATTTTGCAATCATGTCATTCACATACACTTTGAATTCTTTATAGATCATGTTGTATATGATTGTGGTCCCAGCCCTCTGATATGTAGCCCTGGCGTTCTTTAACCTAAATGGTATAACCTTGTAGCAGTGAGTACCCTAAGGCATGGTGAATGTAGTCTTCTTTGTGACGCCCCAAAAATCGAGAACATCAGATAATATATTAACCATTAAATACAGGGTTTATCTAGGATTATAAAAGTAGGAAATGTCACTAATGAATCATTTGGCTAATAACCAAGTAAGATCCCAAGAAGGTCGGAGGAGTCAAAATAGCCTCCTTTCTATGTCCAACCACCTTAGATAGCAAAGTTACCTTTTTGACAGATCTTGACAAGGTATTAACACAAGGCCTACATGAGTTGACGGAGTATAAGGACAGGTTACAAATGTTATATATATATATAAATTACAAAATCATGTCTTAAATACAACATGGGATCTATCACTTACAATCTCAAAACACATTTAACATAACTTGTTCCTAACTCTTCTAGGGTAGCCGTACGTCCTCAAATGCTTCCGCTTTGCCTTCGACCGATCTAATAGTCTTCAATACCTAGCATGAAATGCCATGAGCTTTGAATTCCCAATAAACACACACACACCCCATCCCTTTTTCCTAATCCATTGCACCATCATATTTGTAGCAAGCAAGTAGTGAAGCATGATATTCAAGTCAATAACATCAATTTTAATAATAGAGGAAAGGAACATGTCATTCAAATAGATAACAAGGTTATAATGTTAATGGTTAGTATTCTAGAAATCCCCCAAAGAGATTTCATCCTCCCAACCACAAGAATTGGACACCAGACTGTTCGAAACTCCCCCTTTTGCTACTTTGTTGCAAAACTTACCTCGGATGCCTACCAATAGTTATATACCACGTAGCGCCAACCACAGGGCCTCAAAAGGGACGACAAAAAGAAAAGGTTTTATCTCCTGAATCCAACCTTATCTTTTCAAAAAAGGTTTTATCCTCCTGAATGTCCCATCCGGACCCAACCTTATCTCACCAATCAAACCATCTCAAAGAGTCCGAATACGTCTGTTCCATTCTAGGGTTTACGCAACAACTGCTTGCGCAAGACTTAACCTTAAATTAGGGAGCACATCCCATCAATCCATACATAGCACATTATCATCTCTTCAATATTCAAGTGATCGAAAAGCCAATACCACCCCAATGAAGGTTTTTGTTGAGTTAGATGTCTTAAATTAAAGTTAGAATAACTTTACAAGACAATAATATCCACATAAGCATGAGCATCATCAATTAAAGAAGATAAGGAAGATAACCATAACACATTCAATATCATACCAAGACATGATCACGTACAAAGAAGCATATTCATGAATACAAGAGCATAAAACACCCATAGAAAACTAAATTTCCAGATTAATACCAATTAAAGATTAAAATCAAAAGGACTATTTCATATTTTTCCCAAACTCAGCCTTGTGAAGGTTCGTATAGAATTTAATCTAGTTTTTAGAACATGTTTTGGAAATTGAATAGCTTTTCTAGATTTTTAGTTATTTAAGAAACACTCCAGCGCTGTCCAGATTTGTCGACCGTTACAAAAATCAAATTTTCTTACCGCTCACTCTTTTTAAATGAAACCAATTTTACATGAAAGATAACTCTTTAAGGAAGATGCTGACATAAAAATGAGGTCCAAAAGATTTTTCTACATTTTCCTTGAATTTTCAAAAGTTGGCTGTAAAACAGTTTTGTTCGGCACAGTTCTTGAAATAAGAAAGTTGGTAAGAAAAGAGGTCAACTAGGGGAAATTTTCCACTTCTCTTGTGATGAAAACATGATAAATAATATGTATTAAACTCAAAAATTTAAGGTGCAAGTGTGGCTTTGGAAATTTTGAGAGATTGATATAGAAAAAGGTCGTCTTATACCGATTAAGAGAAATACAAGAAGGGTAGAATCACGACTCAACTCCTTCCATTTTTTACACAAAAGTACCATAAAAAAATATCTGAAATGAATGTTTAAAACTTCTAAGAGCATGTATTTGAAAGGAAAAATAAGAGAGTTGTGTTGTGGCTTACTTGATTGCCTAGTGAAGTGTTTGCACAATTTTCTCCTCTTTTCCACTCCTCCACTACCAAAGTTCACTCTCTTCCTCTTCTTTCTTTCTCTCAACTGAATGTGTAGGTGTGTGAGTGTATGAGATGTGTAATATGTGGAGGGTGGTGGTGCTTTTATAACAACATTGGTGTAAAAGGTCCAAAATGCCCATTGGTTGGATTGGAATGGAATGGAATTGAGATGTATTTAGTTAGAATGTAATGGAATGAGGGATCATTAGGGAGCCTAATCATATATTAAGGCATGATCTAGTTAGGGTTAGGCTTAAGTAGAACCAAGATAGTTACAAGTGCACGACAACTTTCCTTGATTTGGGGGTACCAATGACACTTTTTCCATGATTTAAGGAATTTATCTCTAAAGTACCTATGATTGTAGCCTAGAGAGGGTGATAGCGTGATGAAAACATGATAAATAATATGTATTAAACTCAAAAATTTAAGGTGCAAGTGTGGCTTTGGAAATTTTGAGAGATTGATATAGAAAAAGGTCGTCTTATACCGATTAAGAGAAATACAAGAAGCGTAGAATCAAGACTCAACTCCTTCCATTTTTAACACAAATGTACCATAAAAAATATCTGAAATGAATGTTTAAAACTTCTAAGAGCATGTATTTGAAAGGAAAAATAAGAGAGTTGTGTTGTGGCTTACTTGATTGCCTAGTGAAGTGTTTGCACAATTTTCTCCTCTTTTCCACTCCTCCACTACCAAAGTTCACTCTCTTCCTCTTCTTTCTTTCTCTCAACTGAATGTGTAGGTGTGTGAGTGTATGAGATGTGTAATATGTGGAGGGTGGTGGTGCTTTTATAACAACATTGGTGTAAAAGGTCCAAAATGCCCATTGGTTGGATTGGAATGGAATGGAATTGAGATGTATTTAGTTAGAATGTAATGGAATAAGGGATCATTAGGGAGCCTAATCATATATTAAGGCATGATCTAGTTAGGGTTAGGCTTAAGTAGAACCAAGATAGTTACAAGTACACGACAACTTTCCTTGATTTTGGGGTACCAATGATACTTTTTCCATGATTTAAGGAATTTATCTCTAAAGTACCTATGATTGTAGCCTAGAGAGGGTGATGGCTGGACATGTGCTAGATTATGGGAGATTTTTGTTGATTATATATATATATATATATATGATGATATTTGTGTACAAAATTATTTATTTAAGAAAGGTACAAGTATATGTATGTATATATGTGTGTAGTAGTACTAGTTTGGGGTTAAAATGTGATTCAAGGAAAATGTGAGGGCTTTGGGTTTAATTTATGAATTGGAACAATTATTTTAGTGTAGAATTAAATTAAATTGGGGTTAGAAAGTCTAATTCGGTTTGGAATTGATTAGAATATCTATTTCAAGTGTAATATTAATTAAAATAATGTTACAAAAAAATAATTTGGTTCGAATGATCTTGCATTGAATTAAAGGACACACAACCGAATGAAAATGATAAAAATCAAAAATTAGGATTTTAAGTTACTAATCTAAAATTTGAGAGTTAAATAATTAATTCTAGAGTGTTAGAAATGATTTCTAAGTTAACAAGATCAATTAGGGTTTGTACGGGTTCATCCGTGATACGTTTTCAGTTTTAGGGTTAATTTTGCGAATAAACAGGGAACTAAAGGCTTTATTATAATAACTCAAAAGTAAGGGTCTTACTAGGATTTACAAAATTTAGGGGTGTCACATTCTCTCTGTTCTCAGGTGCCATCAAAATCTGGTTATACCCAAAAAATCCATCCATGAATGATAATAAGGCATGGCTGGCAGTAAAGTCTACCAATTCGTCGATGTGCAACAATGGAAAATCGTCCTTCAGACTGGCCTTATTCAGATCCCTAAAGTTGACGCAAACTCTGATTCTGTCCTCCTTCTTCAAAACCGAAACAATGTTGGCCAACTAAGTCGGATATTCAGATACCATCAGGAATCCTGCATCGATCTGCTTGGTGACTTCCTCTTTAACCTTCAGTGCCCAATTTGGACGGATTCTACAGAGTTTTCGCTTGACTGGTCGGCCCCTGGGGGCAAGAGGGATCCGGTGCTATACAATCTCAGGATCAATTCCAGGCATGTCTTCATAGGACCATACGAAAATAGCTTTGAAATCTTTAATAAAGTGATTAAATGCTCACGTTCCTCCGAAGACAACGTGGACCCGATCTGGACTAAGCGGGGATCCTACTTAGTACCCAAGTTAATTGCAATGATCTCATCTATGTAGGGCTTAGCACGCCTTTCCTCCTCTTGGTCAATCAAGTTTTTCAAAGCCTGAGGAATTTTTTCCTCTTTGTTTTCATAAAAAATTTGAAAATCTTGATCAATGCAATAAATTAACGGCACAGAGAAGTAAATGGAATCTGCAACATTTTCATTCAGAAGTTCTGGTTGCTCAGTTACAACTGACTTAAAGGAAAATGCAAAAGAGGACCTAGACAGGACCTTAGCAGATGGCCTACCACCCCCGAAAGTGCCAGACTTAGACTCCTCAGACGGACTTGAATCTGATTCTGACTTAACAAACTCGGTGGATTCAGATTTAGGGTTATCATTCGATTCAGAACTGGCAATAAAGCCCCTTTCGAACTACCAAGTGAGGCATGACGCCCTCGACACGTTCAGAATGCAACTGGTAGAGTCCACAACCGTTTCCTCTCCGATCATAGAGACAGTAAAGGTATCCCTGAAGTCCTCCGTACTAGTCTCAGGACCTGTTAAGAGATCAACCAATGCAATCCCTACTACAACCTTACTGTAGTCTGAATCGTCCTCTTTGCTCTGGCCAACTTCGATACTTAGATTAGGCCCCTCTTCATCACTATCTTAAATTTTGTGGTCGAAAAAGATTTCAAAACCTGGGAAATGCTTTTTTGTTGAAGACTACACCCAAGGCTCAGGAAAGCTGCAGAAGGGGAAATCCTCTCCTTCTTTGACAAAGCGCCCATTTAACGTTCCCTAGATTGGCCTGTGGACCAGCTCGTATTGTTTCCCGGTTCTTTTGGCCTTGGCCCATTCTCTCATTTATTCTTTCTTCCTTCTCCAGTCCTCTTTGGTGGGCACATAGCCCAACCCAAGGGCATGTGGATTATGTGGCACCTCAGCTAGCGTCGCGACAGTTTTCCTTCTACTCCTTCCGAGCCCCATTCTTGAAAATGCCACAATTTATTCATGATGTAAATGGATTGAACACTAACATACATGCCTTCGTCCTCGACTAAGATTGTCTGTATCACTTGGGCTTCCGCTAGAGTGAATCTCGAAAGAAATACATCTTCATCAGCGTGATTGATTTCTAACAAAGGTATAGTTACCTCTAGCGGTGGAAGAATAGATGAATTCCCAACAACGGTTGCCACTCCTCCCTCATGAGGGTATTTCAACATTTGGTGCAGGTTTGAGGACACAACCTTCATATAATACAACTAGGGCCTCCCTAGTAGGTTGAAGGTAGCTGGCACATCTAGTACATGGAACTCAATCTCATGCTCGGAAGGGCCCACTTGGACTTGTACTTTTACCATCCCCATAACTTCTCTACTTGTGTTGTTATATGTCCTTATCACTTAGGCTGTGGGGACAAAATCTGCCAGTTTCAGGCCTGTCGCATAGGCAACACGAGAAGGATAGATGTTGATTGCAGAACCAGTGTCCATTAAAACCACTGAGACCCACTTTCCTCTGCACTCGATAGATATGTACAGTGGTTTGTTGTGAGTTGACACTTCTGGTGGTAACTCTTTATCAGAGAAGGTGAGCATAAGCTTGGTGCTACTTGGGAAGATTAGGACAACAAGCTGTTCTGGCATAACATCGATGGGCAATTTTGCCTTATCCATTGTTGACAATATTGCTTGTCGGTGTACTCGCGAGACCTTGAGGAGGCCCCAAATGGATATGTCAGCTTGGATCTTTTTGAGTTGCTTCAGGACCAACTCCTCCTCCAGCTTCTTCTTTTTTTCCTTCTCAACCTCCCAGTCTTTTCCTGAGGGTTCAACCTGATCCAAATGTGGAGGTTTGAAATACCGTCCATTCCTGGTGAGATGGTCTATTTTCTTTGCACACCAAGTACTGTCTAGGATATGATCTCCCCTGTCTTCATCTGTATGGGCAAGATGCAAGTTGTAATCTTCTCACCACTCACCATCAACTGCTGACAAACAGTTGTCCGTCTTAACTAGGATCACTCTCACGGTACAATTATCCCCCACAGGGTGGCCAGATGTTGCGGCCTTCTGGCTATCTTCGATCCTCTCTTGTTCAAACTGACCCAGCACAGCTTCCAGCTTGGCGTCTATTATTTCAATAATACCCAACTCTTGCGTTTGTTTTCTCGTACTACTGCTCTCTGGCATTTTCCTTTTCTCCTCAACTTTCTTGGCTACCACAACTTTTCCAACTTGCTGTTCCTCTGATTTTCTTTTCTTTGCCTGAATCATCACTCAACCATCCCATGTTGTCAGTTGATAGGCTCAAATCAAACCAACCGATCTGTACATTGCCTTCGTCTTGTTCCTCAAAGAATTATAGGTTGTCCAAATCTTTTTCCAGATCTGCAAGATCATCTAGCCCTTGGCTTGGGCTGTCGTCCCGAACCACATTAATGTCTATTGAGGTTGGCAGTACTACCTTAGGCCTGGTTTGGGTAATGGGTACAATGTAGTGGCTTGGGTCACGTGATTCCCCAGGAATTCCCAATAGACCGACACCTCTCTCCGAGGTCAAAACCTTCTCTTCCTCAGATGTTGTCACCGCAGATTTGTGAAGCTCAAGTTGTGGGTTGGATATGTTCATTATCCAGAAGTTTGTACTCTCAGGAATGAACAACACTAGTTTTTGTGGGTGAGAGGGGGTGATATAGACGCTCGGGTCAAAGGTGGGTGGTAGTGTATGGATGAGGTGCATATTTATGGGTATGGGGACTTGGCTGTGGATAGGGAGTGGGTTCATGGTCACATTTGGCTTTTGGGGTGGAGCTATTACTTTGTTGTCGATGAGATCTTGAATCTCATGATGTAGGTGAAAGCACCGGTCTATTTCATGGCCATGCTGTTGATGGAAAACATAATATTTGGTGGGAACATGCTTGGACTGGAGGGGGTTTGGAAATGGTCAAGGTTCTAAGGGTTTCAAATGTCCCTTTTTGATTAACACCTACATGGCTCGAGATAGAGTCATATAGAGCTAGTTGAAAGTTTTACCTGGAGGTCAAGTAAGATTGGAAGTTTGTGGGCCCATGTTGGCAAAGCGGTCGGCAATTTTGGTTGTGGTGACAACACTCACTTCTAATGACCTATGAACTGTGCTACCCCCGACAGCATTGGAACTGCATACAAAAGGCCTCTTAGCCAGCTCCTTGTCATTAGTGATGATCCCCTGTTTCATTGCATCTTCGATCTGAACCCTCATTTCATGAAGTTCCTTGAATGTGAACAAGGGGAGAACAATCATTTTCTGTAGCAGGTTGCCATAAAGGTTCCGGACAACCATTACGATTTGGTGTTTCTCCGAGGGTCGAGTGGTCATCATGGATGCCTTGGCCCTCCACTTAGTTACAAACTCAAAGAAACTCTCATTTGGCTCTTGACGCGTCACTTCAAGATCACGAGTTGTGACCTCTATCTGCATGTTATAGGAGTATTACGCAATGAAAGACTCGACAAATTCCTCCCACTTCTGGTTCACAGAATCCTCCAACTTAGCGTACTAGATGGTAGCTATTCTTGACATGGTTTAGCCGAAGAGCGATAACTTCTGCAAACTGGTTAAACCCATTGGTCGTAGGATATCAGAAAATAGCCGTAGATGTACCATTATGTCCTCAGCGCCTAGAAAACAAACATAGATATACCATTTTGAACTGCTCTAAGTAACTGCAGATTCAGTGTACCCATCATCTATATCTGGAATGGAATTAACCCCCTGTGCCTTTTTGAACAGTTTTTCGAGCTTGTTGACTTTGAGCATGGTTGGGTCCATCTCAAATTCAAAAGGTGCCTCAGTTGGGCAAATTAAGGCTCTAGATGTTTGTGCTAGAATGGGATCTTCCTGGACGGGAAAATCCGGAACACCCACGGTTTGTGGATTCTGAGCTGTAACAGCATTGGCAGCGGTACCGGGTGTGGAGATGGTCACATTAGATGTGTGCAAATTAGAAGCCATAGCTAGTTACTGTTGTTATTGTTGTTGCTGCAACCTGTTTGTGACCTCAGCTTGATGGGTCATGTCGTGTTGAAGTGAGTCAACTGACTACTGCAGACAGAGTAGTAGTTCTTCTAAATCAAATGGTGGATACTAAGCCATTCTGGAAGTAGATGGTTGTTCTTGAGGAGAACTGAATGTAGGTGAGCTGAGGGGTGATTGCTGAAGGAACTGAACTAGCGAACTTTGCCCTACCCTTCTTCGTCGTGCAACTGGTGATAGTGAGGCAAACACTGGCTATCCCCAAACAAGGGAGGTGTTTGTTTGGGCTTTTCTTAGCCAACTTATAACTGCTGGCTTTTGAAAAGTTATTTTGGACTGTTTGGTTAAACTTATTTCAAACAGCTTCTAATTCCAACAACTTATTTTAACTCAAAAAAACTGATTCTGAGAAACTACTCACCCCTCGCTTCTAACTATCTGCTTCTGCTGTGGACATGTTAATTTACGGTTATACTCTTAGATTTTTTTATTTTTCATTTTTTTTAAAATAGAAAAAGACCCAAATGGACTATAGATTATTGTTATTATCTTTTATGAGAAATGTAGACAAGTTGTAAATAACAAAAAATAAAAGTTAATTAAAAAAACAATTTCACAACTTATTTAACAAACAATACTCAGCAACTTAAATCTACAATCTAATAGCTACACCAAACAGATTAACAACTTCTGATTAAAGTCATAATCTATAATCTGTTAAGCTATAATCTATAATCTGTTTTAACAGCTACACCAAATGAGGCCAAGATCTCCGACTTTACACAGTCTTCTAACACGGGTCTAGAGTGCTTGGGGGATATTAGAACTTTCTGAAGCTATGTTTTTAAACTACTTAGCAAAAGAAATAAAGAAAGAGCAACAAAATCAGAAATCGAATAACACCTCAGCTAAGCTTTTATTATAACAGATATGTTCAAAGTTGTTGGACTGTACTTCCCACTGAATTCCATCCCAAAACAGATACCAACTGTACCACTGATATGAAGTCTTCATGTACAGTTTCACTGTAAAGCACATACCAGATAAAAAAAGAGCCAAAACACCCCTATGAGGGGGTAGGGTTACCCTATCTTAGATTTGGCATGATCTAGGGTTTTACTACTTCAAGCAAGTAGTTTCACAAAATTCTGCATACGGGTGAGCATCATGTCCTAAGTTGGAGCAGTCAGTATGGCTTTACTATATGCAACTAGGCCGATTGGTCAAAAGGAGTACCTCAGCAAGACAACCTAACATATCTCTTATACCTAACACCAAGGAGTGAAATGAGGATCAAGCGATACGATGGCAATCCGGATCCTTGGGTTGTGTTTCCAACATGGTAGAGCTCATAACCAGCCAGCCTTTTGGCAAGCTTTTTAGACAAGGCTCCGGCAAGCCGTCCAAGAATAGCAGATAGAAAACGTAGCGACTTAAAACACGAATGCAAATATAATGCAAAGAACATATATCTATAAATAAAATTCACATCATGAAGTCCATGTCAAGTTCTCTAATTTTCCCAACAAAGTCACTAAAAACTGTAGTTGGTATCTCGTGCTCCTCAGAGGGGTTAGTCTCCTCGGATACAATAGCCCTAAAGTTCGGACTCCGGTGGTTCTAAATTTGATTTCACAAGTGCAATGTGAAACAGAAAAACACAAATAAGAGTCCAAATCCAGCAAATCTTTGAAAAATCGATTTACAATCAGAAATGTCAAAAATGGACTACATTGCCAGATTTCAGAGTCGCCACCAAAATATTTGTGGGAAATTTAGGAAACCTGTAACTTGTGCCAGAGGCCACATGTCCGTCATAACCAAAATGTCTCAGCTCAGCTCAGGAAATGTCATGAATTGAGCACCCCACTCACCCAATCAAAGATCGGCTTTTACTAATCATGATGTGATTTTTGTATACAATATATGCTCTTGTTCTGATTTATTAATGTTAACTTACTGTAGACCGCCCCGAACTTCCTTCGCGCGCTCCCTTTTCAGAAAGGGCGCGAATTGGGTTCCAGCTACTACAGTTCGGACTCTTGGCACGGTTATGAATCTAATCTCACAAAGTGCAATGTAAGACTGATAAATCACCAAAGAGTCTAAATCCAGTAAATCATTTTGGAAAACTGATTTTAATAAAAAAAACGCCAAACATGGACTACTTTGCCAGATTACAGTGTCGCCATCTAAATATTTTGTTTTGGAAAAATTTAGGAAACCCTGACTC